GCCTTCCGGTGTATCAGCCACTCCTCCCGCCTTTGTATCATCAGCAAAAACTTGCTAAGGGTACACTCCATCCCTTGAGCCAGGTCATTGATTAATAAGTTAAACAAGACCTGACCCCTGGGAAACACCACCACAGGTCTCCAACCAGACCCTGCACCACTGACCACGACCCTCTGAGCTCTGCCATCCAGCCAGTTCTCGATCCACCTCACTGTCCACTCATCCAGTCCACACCTTCTGAGCTTATCCTGTCAGGTTGTCATGGGAGACGGTGTCAAAAGCTTCAGCCTTCCTGAAGTCACGGTAGACAACACCCACTGCTCTCCCCTCATCTACCCAGCCAGTCATGCCATTGTAGAAGGCCATCAGATTGGTCAAGCATGACTTCCCCTTGCTGAATCCATATTGACTACTACTGATCATCTTGTCCTCCACACACTTAAGAGACAACATCCAGAATGAGTTGCTCCACCACTTTTCCAGGGATGGAGGCAAGGCTAACTGGCCTGTAGTTCCCTGGATCCTCCTTCTTGCCCTTTTTTAAGGCTGGAGTGACAATGGCTTTCCTCCAGTCCTCAGGCACCTCTCCTGTTCTCCATGACCTTTCAAAGATGATGGAGAGCCGTTCAGCACCTGCCAGCTTCCTCAGCACCAGTGGGTGCATCCCATCAGGGCCCATGGATTTGGGGGGGTCCAGTTTGCTTAAATGATCTCTAACCGAACCCTCCTTGACCAAGCGGAAGTCTCTCTCTCTCCAGGTTCCTTCTCTTATTTCCAGGGTCTGGGAACTAATGGATTATCTCACCAGGTTATATTGCAGCAGACACATCATTTCTGCCATCCTATCTACAAAAGCTCTCTTTGCTAGAGGAAAAATTCTGGAGGGAACGACAGAGACATCAGCAGGTAGGTATGGTATTGGTTACACGAACTCTTCTCCCCAGTAGAGTTCCATTTTTCCTATGCACATATGTTACCAGACTCTATGTCTTTGTCCCTCTCCAACAGAAACCAGTAAAGGCCTGTTTCACATCCATTTCTTATAAGGATGAAAAACACAAATGCACAGCTCTTCTAGCACTCTGCAAGGCAGAGAAAGAATGAGAGAAAGTAGAAAGGAAAAGAGGGAAAGAAAAAGAGGGTAAGTTACCAAGTAAGAATACTGCTGTCAGAAGCTCATGCCTGGTTTTAAATATTAATTAGTCAGCTTGAGATGAAAATAAATGGAAAAGATGGTATGCTTTCTCACTGTCAAGCAGAACCTTCCAACAGACAGAAAAAGGGCGACACATGCTTCAGTTTTCCTTAAGTGCTCTACCAATGCATTTTTGCATTTTTTTTTCCAAGTCAGTAATGATGAGAATGAAAATGGAAATCGAACACTTCACCAAGACACCCAATTCTTCCTCCCTGCCATTCAAAGGGAAACTCAGAATTGAGATCTTTGCCATTATCAGTACTCATTATACCTGTACACTCTGTTTACGCAGAAGCTTTTTCTTTTAGAGCTATGAAATGTGACTCTTCACTGAATTCCTTGAACTTTAACCAGAAAACTTCTAGTACAGAAATGTTCACATTCGGTTTAAAGAAAAAAGCTACTGGTTAAGAAAAATACTACCCAAAGAAAAATGCAGCTCCAGGAACAGATGAAACATGAGCAGAGAGCAGTAGATTTCTTTCTGTTTTCGAAACTAGCATTTCAGCATTGTCAGAAGACAATCTAAAGATTTTGAGGGAAAAGTGTTTTATTGCACAGCCTAAGCACACGGAATTGAAACTGAAACTTGAAAAATTCAAACTGAAAAGTCTCGATAGCTAAGTGGTAGGTTCTGCAATACATGCATATTAACAGTATTTTTGAGACAAACCACCACATCACTTGTTTATGTTTTCTGTTTGTTACCATTACCAGCTTGGAATTCAAATCCACCGATCTAGAGGGTGGATATGACCTTCCAGTTGGAGAAGGACCGACTACTTTTAAAAATAAAAAAGAAAAGAATTCTAAAAATCCACAGAGCAAAACATATTTTAATGACACATTCTGGAAATCTTACGTTAAACATAATTTCAAAGTGTTGGCTCTAATGAGAAAGATACGTAGGCATGGAGACCTTTAAAGGAAAAAAACCAAAGAAACAAAAAAATCACATTCTTTCAAAGAAATGGATGCCAAGGGGCTCTGTTTCCTCTGTTTCTCTGCCAAGCTCCCTGGGAACCACCCTATCCCACCTTTATTTCCTGGACTTTCTACAACTCTCCAGCTTACCTCATTCCAGGTACCACCTTCCATTTCCTCATCACCCGCCTTCTCCAAACACAGACTCATCCCTGACTTTATCCCACCCCTCATGCAGGGGTCCCCTCCCCCCTCTCTCATGTGCACCAATGTTCTTCACTTCACCCTTGAATATTCCCAACTCCTTCACCAACTGGGCAATGCTTTCCACCTCTGAAATCCCTTTCTGGTTCCAAGTCTCCAGTTTCTTGTTCAGTACTAATCTCTTTATTGTTCTGCTCTGAGCCCTTGACTCCGTTATTCCCCCCAAACAGACACACTCCATATTCACCCTGCTCTACCTGCTTCTGAAGCTGAGCCTTAATTCATTAACTAAGGAAAGTGCTTATCCACTACATAAGCTATTAAAGGCCAATTTGGAAATCAAGTGCATCAGCAAAACCTTACACACTATACTAAACTCAGAGCAATTCTGCTTAAAGGTGGACTAGACACAAAATTGTACGACTCTCAAAACCAGATAGTTTAGGACACCTGTGTAATGTATTAAATTAAGTTCTTTGTAAAGACATGGTAAGTTTTCTGCTGAATGAACACAAGATCAAAATTGCTACTACATCCCAACCAAGAAACACTGTTTTCCCAAGGTCCTGCCTCTTGCTAGCATTTATGCAACCCACCTGGGTACACCTGCTGCAATTTTCTGTTCAGAAACAGCAGCACCTCTGCAGAGGAGACACTGTCCTGCTAGCAGAGCTGTAGTGCTCACATCTTCTCTTCCCTCCCTCACCTTACCCCCTCATCAAACACACACTTACAAGCCAATCTGTAAAGTAGCCATAAGGGCTATCATGGAGCCCCGATTAGGCAACCGGCCTGTGGAAGCTCAGGTCTGCGCTATTGGAATTGTTGCTGCCAGTGCCACAGCAGCATCCTCTGCCTTTGCTCGATCCCTCCTCTTCAGACCATCGGTTCTGCTCCATCTCTCGGTTCCCAGCCACATAGCTTACTCCTCACAGCTCCTCCTCAAGCTGCCCAAGCTCCGTAGGTGGGCCTGAGCAGAAGTGTGTGCTCACTAGCCACACGTCTCTCCATTCCCATCCATCGGCTACCACCCGAGTACATACCCTTCCTGCTCCTGAAGTGACTAAAAGTGGTGAACAAAAGCTATGACCTCAGAGCCACATGTTAGAACCGGGAAAATTAAGGGGGAGAACCACTTGGATAAAAAAATCAGAGAAACAGTAATGCAAACAGAACCAACTCGCAGTCCTGCGCTCCAATCACAGGATGCCGCTGCCCCTGATCTCCTTCCAGAATTTACTGCTGAGCTAAACTTGTAGGGCCTTCGTTATAATTAGTTTCACAACAGAAATTTTAGCCTCATTTCATTCCATATACTGTTACAATAGACAAGAAGTCCTAGTGATAGCTGTAAGATTTGAGATATCAGTGATCTTGGTCACGCCAGGTCCTCATATCGAAAGGCACAAGTAGTCCTGAGATCTCCAAAACAAAAAAGACTGTCAAAGCAGTCTCTGAACAATTTTTCAGAATATGAAACCTTCCCCTTGCTACTGCTCACAAGAGTGAGGTGAGGAAGACTCTGGCAGTATTTTTATACTACATGCAGAACAGGCATATTGATGCTTAAATGCATTCACTCTACCAGAACTCCCAGTCTTCAAACACTGCCAGACCTGACACCCACACCGGGAATTACCAGTTACAAGCTAATTAGATCCAAGCCTTTTGTTCAGCTGCAAAGACATTTTGCACTTCCAAGCCACCAAATCACCACAGCTGCTGTTCAGATTTATGCTGTTCAGATCTAACGGACAAGTTTCTGGTTGTGATTGGTTTGGGAAGAATACTCAGTGGATCAAAGCTGCCTGCTACTTCTTGTAGGCATTTAAAGTCAAGAGTTTTCTGTTTGTATAATCACATCTGTGACAGTTAATTGCACAAAACTTACCTCTTTGGGCAAAGATGTTAATTTGTTTCTATCCGCATTCAAATTGTTCAGCTTCTGTAGTTTTCCAATGCTCTTCGGCAATGACTGTGCCAACAAAAACAAAATAATATGCAAGAAGAATTTGTAAATTCACAGAGTCAGAATAAAACTTCTCTCACTTTAAAAATGAATTAATAGACTGATGCATTTTCAGTGGAGTGTAGTTAACCCTCCTTACTACCAGGCTTTCCAAAGGAGACCCAAGGTTTTATCTTGCAAAAGAAATGTCCAGGAATGTCGTCTTCCAATACAAATTCACTCGTGAGTTATCTCTGCACTAAGATGATAGATGCACAACAGCTGTGTACAGAAGCATGTATGCAGAATGTCCATATTATCTAACTTTAGTCTTCCTAAACAGCTAATTGAGAGGCAAGCTTCTAACTTAGGTGCTATGAACTGACCTCTGGAGAGGCATCTTTCCAACAGGTGTAAGCTCCAAACTCAACCAAGCACCAACCTAACTTAGGAAATGCTCAAACCTAGATTTTTATAAATCTTTCTACTGTGTCAGAGTCATGTGAAGGCAGTTTCAAAATAATGGAAGGAAACACCTAACGGAAAGAAGTCTGAGATTTTATTTTAGTTGACCACATATCTTATCTAATACCTGGCTGGAGTAGATCAGCAGAGCAAGGAACAGTACAACAGCACCTCTGCAGTGCTCGAGGCTTCTATTCAGTTCCAGCAAGTCTGATCCAGATAACAAACAGCAAAAACTGGCAATAATGCAACAGCACAAACTCCGCATGAAAAACACAACAAGGCAAGTGATACCTGCATTCCACATGCTCTGATTCCCTTACTGGTCATGAAAGATTCAAGAGTGAATATGTAATTGCTTAAGCCTTTGGAAGGGTGGATTGTTACTACACACACCTTGATCTTCAGCATTCATTTAACAGCTAAGAAATAAGATGCATTTAAAGGAAGCTTGCTACTTAGTAGTAGCAAGGGTGAGTAACCTTACGAGCTAAGCGATTCAGCACTTAGCAGCAGGTCTTATTACGGCCAGCCATTTGAGCAGCCACCATCACGCTTACCTGCAGTTGGTTTTCTGTTAGAACTAGTTCAGTAAGGCTTTCGCAGTCTCCAATTGAATCTGTTAGTTGAATAAGTTTGTTCTGATCAACCTTCAAAATGGAGAGCCTCCTCAATTTTCCTGGACAGAAAGAACAACACATACGTTTAGTTTAGTATCTTCCAATACCCGATTTAATTACAGAAAATTTTACTGCTGCAAAACTTTTAGAAATCCTCTAACACAATGAATTTTTTTTTCAGGTAAAAAAAAAAAAAGAATTTAAGCATTGCTTCACTTGGTGCTTGCACTATTTTTGCAAGTTTATAACATCACTAAATTAATATTCAATATAAACATTCATATCCAATATCTAAGCATATTAAATTGTATTAAAGTTGCAATCTGAATGGTACCTCATGTAAATGTCAAGGACGTGTCTACCCAAAGGTCTATAAACAGGAGAAAATCATCTATTTTTTCCTCAATTATACAATGTTTATCAATAAAGAAGTGTTCAGAAGATGCCTACCCATGCCTACACCCATGCCTACTCAGCCACAGTAAGAAAGGCTTGCACTGAAGCGACAGCCCAAACCCAAACAGGATCAAGGTCTCTTTGTCCTAATATAGAACCCAATTAGTCAGACATGAAACCTAGGTTTATTCTTCAGACTAGAAATCAAACTTCTGTGAAGGTCTTCTCCCCAGGAAGGACAAAATACTATTTCAGAGCAGAAAGCTCACCTTGATCTGCTCCTTTGTACCAGAATGGTCTTTGGTGCAAAGCAGAGCTGATCCAGGCAGAGCCCGAGACAGAGAATTCAGGAGACATCACCAGCTGCTGACACCTCCCTACATGGTCCAAAATAGCTGTAACAGGCTGGCACATCAAATTTGCTGCTGATGCTAAATCATGAAGAGACGGCTGATACACAGAAAGATAGCCACCTAAACAGAAACTCGAGGTTCAGCAAGAATTGCAGAGCTCTGCACCTAGGCAGAATAAATCTGTGCACTGGCACAGGCTGGGAAGTCATGGGCTCTACAGGAGCCCTGCTGGAAAGGTCCTGGGGGCTATGGTGGGCACCAGGCTGAATACGAACTAGCAGTGAGCTCTCACCAGAAATCTTCACCCCCTGACTCCCCAGTTCAAGTGAGGTGCCAATGGAGGTCCAGCACAAAGCTATCAAGATGACCAGGGCACATGTGAGCTGAGGTTGAGGGAGCTGGCTTTGTTGACTCCCACCAAGAGGCAGCCAAGGATGTACCTAGGAACAGCCCACAACTACTTGAAGGGCAGTTACAGAGATGACAGAGCCAAAGTCTTTTCTGCAGTGGCAGGTGAGACAGCAATGGCCACAAATTGAAGCGTGGGGTGTCCCAGCTGGACTTTTGGAGAAGGTTCCTCACTGGGAGGCTGCGCAGCACTGACACAGGCTGCTGGGAGTGCTGGAGCCACCATCGCCAGGGCTTTAGAGACTTGGTGAGACACGGCCACAGCTGACCTGACCCACTGGTGCTGGTGACAGTCCTGTTTCAAGGGCTCTACAGGTCCACCAACCCAACCAACAATTTGGCAATCAGCTGAGCTCCTACCCGTAGCTCCCACAGAGACCAGCGAGGTTCACTTCAAGCACAATACCAGACTTTCTCTATTTTGCATAGTAAGTTCCAATAGTACACAAAAAGAGTAAGTCCTGTAGCCCTGCTCAATTTTCCAAATACAAGTAAGCTATTCTGTTCACAAAAGCAGCAATTTTATTTTTGCCTTTGTAACAAAATTACATTCACAAAAAGTTACAAAATGCACATGCAAACTAGGCCTGGCCTGAAATGGCCCAGTTCTTTGCAATCGCCTTATCCAGCAAAGGATCTCTATTTAACAGGATTCTCGAGAAGCAGCAGCTCCTCTTGTTCACAAGCTGGTGTTACAGACCAGCTCCCCTCCGGCAGGCTGCATGGGCTGTAGCCTTTCGGAAGGTACAGTTCGATTTCTGATGTACAACTATGCCGGCCAGCTCAGGTCATCAGAGAGGACTGCTACAACTCTCTACCAACCACACACTAGCCAACCGTAGGACCCACAGCAGTCACCCCAGTCCCCCAGGTTGAACTTTTAGAAAAACATTTCTTTTTTCTTAGGCTTGTATAGCATATGGAGGGAGGGAGAAGGTCTGTCCATTCTTTTGCACATTCCTGGTTAAAGCACATTCACCAGTCTTTCCCCTACACCTTTATTTTTGAGAAAGAAAAAAAAAATAATCCTGGCAAGAAGAAAGCATGCTTTCACAACACAAAACTCTCCAGACAAACAGCTGACGAGTAGTAGAGAAACAATGCCCCACTGACTACTCATCATAACTACTGCAGGGATGAAAACATTTACCTTAAAAAAGGCAATGATAATGCTTCAGAAAACACTCCTCAGTTATTAAACCTGTTTTCAGGGATCAGACACCAAAATGTTGTTGTTTGGATCCTCAATGGTGAGAAGTCATGGCCTGAAGCTGGACCAGCCTTCCACTGGGTTCAGTGTAGGATTAATCACATTGCTCAGCTGAAGATAGTCACACATCCCCACTAAAAAGGACGTATTTTTTGTAGTGATACTGTCAGTTAGTCTTATCAAGTGACTTACAGGCATGTTCCAAGCTGGAATTTTACAATGTTAGAGTTATGGTGGTGATGTAGAGACAGCAGGAACAGAGAGGATACATTAACTTTTATTTTGTTCAGACAGGTATCAAGTGAGACCAAAAAAGGATTACAAGGTAGTCATTATGCAGACAATTAAAATGCAAAATTAATAGAGCTATGCACTTCATACTAAGCAAAAAAAAAAAAAAAAAAAAAAGCTGAGACAAGCTCATCTCTTGCACAGAAAGACTTCAAAAGACTTGAAAACAAATGACTTCCAATTTCTGGTGGATTAAATGGTTCTGTGTGATAGCATTCACCATGTACTTACCAATGCCATCAGGTAAGACCTGAAGTAAATTCTGAGAAACAAGCAAGTCTGTTAAAGAAGTCAGACCACTAATTTCTTCAGGAAGGCATTCCAATTTATTTTCAGAAACATCCAGACAAAGCAGGTTTTTCAGGTTTCCTACTTCCTGCAATACAAGACAAAAAATTTAAGTCATGCCCAAACACGTAACAAAGCAATTTGAAAAATGTACTATCGCAATGAAACTCCAGAAAGAAAAACAATTCTCCATATGACCTCTAAACTGGTCATTCTTTGTATGACCTTTAAATGCAGAAAAAAAGTAAATAATTACATTTTACATACAATAAACTACAAAGTGATTCAGTCACAGTTTGTTATTCTAACTATTAAGACTGGCTTCAGTAGTCAGACAAGGTATGCTGAGCACACCCAAGCAAGCACCAGACAAAACTTGAGTTTTCCTCAAGTAAAGACTGCAAAGTTGTTTTTTCAGAACTACAGATTATCAACCTCAATGTAATTAAAGTTTGCCCCTCCCAATACCCTAGGCAAATTAGGATTAGTCTCTCCTGGCTGATACAGCAACATGCCATGACATCTAGGGATTTCGTATCTTTACATCTCCCAACTGCAACAAACGCAGAAATAGGAACTGGGAGTGTTGCTCTAGCAAGCATATTTGAATTGCCAAGTTATACTGCCATCATCTACAATTATTAATGATCACTTAATTTTTTTTACAATGGTAATCTGCCAATTATCTCAAAAGTCTGACAGAGAAATACCTTCGTCCCTATTAACCATCAGAGCACCCTCCCATTCCCCATGTATACAGACACCCCTACACACGCTGCAGATTAGTTCTCATTTTAGTCATCCAAATCATCTTTCAGAGAATAGAATGGCCGGAGCAGAAGTGTCCTTTACTTTTGACATACATGAAATTTTCCTACAGTGACAGCATTGACCCTAACTCATCAGAACAGTCTTTTTATTTTGGAAACATTTGCCTCTCAAGAGGATCTTTCATTAAACACACACCCCCTCTCCCTTTATCCTATAAGTTCATCTTTTGGACATTAGACAAAATACACAATAATGACCAGCTTCAATAGAAACAGCTGCTGAAGTCACACTTGACCTTTTATGAATGATTATCAGTATTTAACTACATCTGCTGAAAAAATTATTAGGCCAAGCCAACAAAAGGCAACAAAGCCCACTAAACTGTAACTAATTTCCAAGTTACACTGCTGACAATGAGATCAATACAGCAAATAACAGCAAACTGCACGAGGAACAGGAGAAAACAGGTTTCGATGGGGCTCTAAATGAAAAAGAGGGAAGAGAAACCATCCCACATGTTATCACAGTTCTTATGAAAGGGAATTTAAGAGTGCTGTAAGCCTTAAATGCTAAGGCCCCTCATCCCATGACTGATGTCAGATGGGGGATTTGCCTGCATAAATCAAAATTTCTATTTACGGCAACAGTTGTATTATTGTACTTCTCCCAAACACTGTATTTGAATGGAAGAAGATGATTGCAAAAAAAAAAAAAACCACACACGATGATTCATCCTCAAAATGTCAAAATTGCAATTTAGATAGATACGAAAGGTGAGGGTTAGCCCAGCCAACTAGTGGCTCCCTGATCATTGTGTCAGGACTGTAAACAGAGGATGCGTCATCCTATAAATTGAACAACGTGCCTATTAGGAAACAATTCCTTTGTCAAAATGTTTAAAAGAACATGTCTGACAACATATGATATCACATACAATCCCTTGCAGAGGAACTTGCTAAGAGAAAACCCTTACACATCCAAAACCAAACCCAGGAAAAGTGAACTGAGAAAACTATTTGATTTTAAATGACCTCCCTTTAGGTATGAATGAAAAAGTTTTCTTTTAAAGCATCTTCAAAATAGTATCAGTAGAGCTCATCTTTACCTGAGGTATTTCAGCTAACTGGTTTCCATCCAACCAGAGGTCTTTAAGATTGAAAAGTGCACCAATTGTTTCTGGCTATAACACAGAAAGTAATAATGTTAAGTAGCATAAGAGCTTCAAGTAAAAAACCGAATGGCCACCCCGTAATTACGGTCTGAGTAAACCAATCCTTACTCCAAGCACTATTTAGAGGTACCAGGGTTAAATGCAGCAAGGGTGACTGTAAGCATTTGGGAACTCCATCATATAAATTAATTGTTATAGCTTAACAAGCTACCACACTTTCCCTGACATGTACTAACAAACTGCATGCACACTGTTAATCTACTGCAAATCCAACATTTAATTGAGTCAGCTTAAGGGAGATGACAGATATCTTTTGGTAGATCTATCTGCCACAATGTCAGACACTGCAACCCTCAGTAGTTTGCCTCAGCCCTTTCCCAAAGATTCCTACTCCCACTCTGGAAAGAGCTGAGCCCAGCTCCCTACAGAAGCCCATGTGTTCATGGTAACCGCAAGGGCAGACAAAAGTTTATGCCCTTCCACTCCTTTTTCTTTCCATAGAAAAAGTCTGTGCAATGCTCTCATTCTCTAGAGATCAGCTGCAATTTTGGGGGTAAAGTAATATTGTACTGAACAAGACTAAGTAGATATGGAAAGCACTGACTCATTGCCAAAATTCATCTGTATGTATGAAAAGACTCTCCTTCCACATATTTTTCTTTCTTCAATTTTGGACATCCCATGACCTATTTAATCTAAATAATGTGTAAAACAAGACCAACATGCACTTTCAGTGCTATGTTCTCTTACCAAGAGATAAAGTTCATTGTTTCCTAAATCAAGTTCTTCTAGTCGCTGCAGCTGGGCAAGTGATCTGTGAGATGAGATAAGTCAAAACAAAACCACATCAGACTAAACCAACAGAAACTCCATGTATAATGAGCTCACTTTTCTGAAACTCATATTTCAAATTACAATGTATTATAGACAGACAGTTATTTTACTAGGCATAGGCTATTTGCAGTAATACCTTACTGAAAAAATAATTTGGTTTGTCAGTATAACTTGTATGCCCTTGAAACTTAAAACTTCAGTATAGGCAATCACATCATTATTCTTTTTTTAACCATCAGTCCCTCGGTTTGGACAACACCACAGTTTAGTATAGTTGGTTAGATTTATTTTTAGGGGGAATTTACAGTTACGCAACTGGATAAAAATTCCCCATAGTGATCACATGCAACAGTGTGACTCAAGACTCAATAAATCCATCATTTATGTTCTCAATATGATCTATCCATTCGTGAAGTATTTCAGGTTGGATTTGAGGATTCAAACAGAGGGGGGCCTAAAAGGATGTAAAAGAAGTTCTCCGGACATGAGTACACACAGGCGGTCATCCTTCTATATCAAAAGCAATCTTTGCAGAGCTCTTGTTTACCCTCCCCAAAGCCACGGTAGCACAAAAGCCAGTAAGACTCGTCAGCTACATTACTGACAGTCAGAATTTTCCAGGAGCAATAAAATTGTCAACATTTGGGATAGCTTCATTCTGACACCGCATGGCAAAACCTAGCTAGCAATTCATATCTTCTGACCACTGACATTTAAAGTGCCTTGTGGCTCACGGCTATAAACAGCCACAACAGAGGTACTGGTTAGATTGACAGGAAAAAAGGACCCCAAAGCGACTGGGGAAGAGATCGTGATTAAAATAGGTTAAATCTATTACAGTATCTATTAGATTATCTAAACAAGCAGAACAGGAGTCACCAAAACTCTTGCAAGAAGCAGTCAAGTAGTGAAGGAAGGAAACTCCTTCACGAGAGAAAGAAGAGGCTTCTTCCAAGCAGCCAAAAAGCATCTCCAAAATATAAGACACCCCATTAATCTTACAAAAGACCACCAATTCCTTTCCCACAATACAGATAGTATTAATCTAGATTTCTTTTTTTCCCCAAAATCATGGTAGGTGGAGTCAGACTTCAGACATCAGTCGGCCTAGTTGGTCACCAGGGCTTTCAACTCCAGGTTTTGGAAGTTTTTGGTTACTTAGCCCTGAACATGAACGCTTATTTAAATGCTATGAAGGTCTAGAGTGGAAACCTCTGAGATCCTATTACCCTGCTTTCACAGTTACGAAATTTTCAGCATGAGAACAACCCAAACCGCTGCTCCCGCTGCTGATGCACTAGTTCAAAGCGTGCAGGAAGAAACGTTTGGTGCTGCTGCATTTTATACAGAATATTTGTATAGAGTAAAACCAATCGACACAGACTGCAGGTTCCTGCTACTGACCAAGTACAACTAGAAGTAAGGGACGTAACTAGGTGTAGCCAAAACAAAACTGTATCTCATACACGTTGTCAGTCAGCACTGAATATTTTTTCTAGCTGTCATTCAGTTTCATATGTTAGCAGATTTTACAAATAAGAACATTTTATGTCAATATAATCAAATATATGAAATGTCACGTCACTTACTCAGGTAAATATGTCAGCAAATTTTCTCTAAGTTCCAGTGAAGCCAGGTTATAAAGACTAAAAAAAAATAATAAAGAAATAAACAAAAACCCACCACATTTTAATGCAATCTTACTTTTTATATTCCATACTTTCAGAAGAAGTGTGTTTACACAGTTTAAAACAAAACTGCTGTGAACCAATTTTTGTGTTATTTTAATTCAACCAGACCATCATGTGAAAGGCAGCATACAAAGACTGGAAGCTTTTGCTTGTTTCTCTGTGATATTTCAACACATTAAAGCTAGAAAGTAAGCAGACAAAACACAAATTTCCATTTGTTAAAAGGTCAGCAGTTGCAAGTTACTGAACAGAGCATATTCATACCAATTGTATTTACTTACTCGCTTCCAGAATCTGGCATGGGCTACCGCATTTACAGAGCATCAGGTAAACCCATCGCTGTTCTAACCACGGCATGCTCATTACTGTAAGGGACATTGTGCTTCTAAGCGGCTCACATACTCCATATCCCAGGCTTTTACTAACATCACCATAGCAACATTCAGATTTTTCAGGGGTTTATTTATGACTAAATGGAACACAAGGAGTCAGACATTATCCCAACACTATAATCTGCTCTAATCCTCCAGCGACACAGAGAAAAAATAAGATATAAAAAAAATAATCAGATATGGCGACTGCAAACAAGAGAGTATGTTCTGTCCTGGTGTGCAGGGAAGGGGGACAGTGCGCTAGGCTTTAAATAAAATCTAGATTAAAAAAGGAATTCCACTAAATTTGAAACACGTTAAATCTAAACCCAAAATGGTTTTGTTTGTACACCTTAGCAAAAAAAAACAACAACCAACCAAGCCCGTGTAGTCAGACCACATAAAATTGAAATATTTGTTTTCACTTCAAACAATACCAACATACTGAATTACAGGATCATTAGTTAGTCCCAGTAAAAAAGCAGCTGATAACCTGAACAAAACTAAAGAAAAACGTTCATATTGTGACTCCAATACAGCTATCTAAGCAGGGAAAGCAACACAACTGATGTAATGAGTTATTAAATGGGAAAGAAGATTTTTTTATGGATTGACTTTGGATGGTGTCTGAAAAACACATCCTTATTTCAAGCACCTATTTCGTCATGCATTCACAAAACAGTGAATGAAATCTCACAGGAGCTTTGACTATGGTCTCAGCAGTCCTCCCCAGCTTTTAAAATAAGCACTTTTTACCCAACGGGTTCTGTATTCCTCCAGAAGAAATACAGTTAAAACACACCATACAGGTGAAGATATTTTAGTAGAAGCCTATTACAAATTCAACTAAAAGATAAGCGAGAATAACTCAGCTACTGCCACTCCAAATCATTCGACAGAAACAGGGTAATAAGGAAGCCATCATTCCAGTAACACAAGAGAAAACTCTGACATAAAAATTTTCATACTGTAAAACACAAGTCAAGATGGGACACGGTACCCAACAACCTCACAGAAACCAAACCAGGGGAAGGGGAGAGGGAAGTGCTGACGGAGAACTGTTTCTCTCCGAGGAACGTGGGTCTGTTCTTACTCACTTTGCCACCCACAGACTGCCATTACATTTTTGTTTACAGGTTTTCTAGAAACCTATTCCAACCTTCCTTTGAATTTCACACTTTCTCTTCAAGCTCTTATTAGGTGAGGCCTGTGATTCACTTTTATCAAGAGAATACAAAAAGGATGCGCACACCACCAAACTGCCTTCTAATCCTGTGTTTACAGATCACCCCGCATCCACTTGTCTCCCTCCTCATCACATTGAAGTGTCAAGGTGTAAAATGGTGCAATCTCTTAATTTCTCTTCTTGTATCAGGTTAAGCAGAAATCTTTGTCAGCAAAACCATGTTCAACAGCAAGAACTTAGAAACCATCATCTTAATCAGCCTCACCGTATCATTAAACTGGGGCAGGCCAGTGAACCAGCTCAGGAAACTGATCCTGCTTAAAAATAACCTGGCAAAGAGAGTAACAGATCCCTAATCCAAGAGAGAATAAATCCCCTTAAACACCTGGGCCAGTACAACTGCCAAGGAGGCGGAGGGAAGGCATCTGCACTGCCCAAGCCAGCAGTGCCAGGGCTGTAGCTGTGCCCTCGGACACCCAGCAACAGCCCTCTTTGCACCCAGCCACGTACCATGTGTTTCGGAGACTGACTGTGGCCCATCGCAGTCCCAGCCTAGGTTCCGTTCTTACAGGAGTCAGCTATGTATGGGATTAATGTTTTCATCTCTAATGACACAGCTTTCTGGAGGAGAAATGCTTTGTTTACAGCTATTCTCACCCATAGCATGTTCACAAATGTAACTCTACCCTGGAACAAAACAAGGACACTGCCCACCACCCCTTTAATCTATCCTTTCTGCTTCTTTACTTCTTCCAAGGTCTGGAGTCCAAACCCAAAGTACGTGGACCCCAATAGGCAAAAGGAAGCTTCCCACCAAGTCATGTAAAATAGAGACTACGGCTATGAAGCTCATACCAGCAAAGCCGCCCCGTTAGACTGAAGTATTATGTTTAAGTTGGGTTCATCTAAAAGAGAGGCCAGAAAATGAGAGGAAATTTTTGACTTATTACTCTTAAATTTCAACTAATTACAGAAGCAGCTCCCAGCAAATTTATGTGCTGCGATTTAAAATGGGAAAATGTGACAGTTATCATATAAAATAGTATCACATAAAAGGTGTGCTGATGTACCAAAGTACCAATCTCCAACACATTACAGAGCAGAAGTATAGCTCTTCCTTAAATTTACCAACAGGTTCTTAACACATTCTATGTTCACTAACATTTTTCTGGTTTTAAGGTATGTTAACAAATGGTATTTTTAGTCGTTTACAAGAAAAATCCTACAGTTCTTGCTATTTTTCAAATATGTTTTCTGATTTAATAACACATTCTCTCCAGAAAGTGTAATTCTTCCTCTTCTCAACTACAAATAGAGCTTTTTCACAATGTACTAAATGAAATAATTTCTTCTTTCCTCTCTGCCCTTAATTATATGGGTGCACTGTTAGGCAAGAGTCTTTCTGAAGTCTCTGAAAGGAACTATAAGAAGCCACACTTTAATGATTTCAGAGTCTTTCCCTTTTTTTTTCTAATCTTCACCTAGGAGAGAAACCCTGCCATGGGCGGGTTATCAATCCATAAAACGCAAAGGCAACAGCAATCTAGTCTATTCAGACAGGAGAGAACAGTTCCATCAGCGGCTGTTCACCAAGTGCATTTAGAAGTACAAATGCACCGCACAGCACTGCAGGCTGCTCTCCAACACATACAAAAAAGTCCCTGCTCCCCGCAAAAAACCCCAACAGAAAACGTACAAGCAAAATGTCATCTACATTCTAAAGGACAAAGAAAAAAAACAAGAAAAAAAAATGCAAAAAACCTCTAAGTACTTTTCCAAGACTACTATGTTAAGAAGTTATTTCACACAAGCTTGTAAAAAGCATTCATATTGTAAGAACTCTCACCGCCAAAGATACCACACACACCTCCAACAGTGAGCGTGTGTGTGAAATTCCTGAGCGCAAGGCAACAGTCAAACCAGGTGGAAGATGCAGTAACTGAAATAATTACAAAGTTTTCCATCTCAGCATTCCAGATGATTTCTGCTGTAAGGGTGGAACCAAGTTGAATTTAAAGGTACAATATGGCTAAAAATGTCATTTTCAGTACAAACCAGATACACTTTAGGTACAGCACTGAATCAGTAACTGGATAATGGTATTCATCATGTGAGCTAGAAGAATGAAAAGAAGAATGTGAATCAATAATTGAGAACAAAACTAATAGCAACAAAGTAGTCCATAAATGCTGAAAGTGCCTTTCCTGAGCATTCCTGTAGGGATTTGAGACAGAAACTCACAATCCAACACCGTCTACAGCTAAGGAACACATCAAATACTCCTTCGTGTCAACTGCAGTGGTGTCCTCCAAAACAAACACAAGGTTAGAACCAGCCACCAAGATCGGAACCAAAGCATCATCATCGTCTTCTTCCAAAGCAAGTCAGTTTTTCTTTGGATTAATTACAGAGAGATTATCAGTAGCAACACGCCCTACAAAACAGCCATTTTACAAGCAAATGACTCTCCGGACAACAGCAATTCACCGCAATAGGTAAAACAACATCAACTGCAGTTAAAAAAGAAAGAGAGAGACAATGAGGTACGTTCCCTAGTTACCTTGGATGAAATTCCATTTTCAGCGTACCACATACGTCAAATACACTCTGTCTTGTAATGTTATAAAATACAAAGCTGAGATGAGTTATTCTACTGCTTTAACTCTATCAGGGACAGCTGCATCATTCTCCTATTCAAGTGGACAGAAAGTCAGCCTTAAGAGTGACAACAGACAACACTATATATCCCATTTTTATCCCAGTCCCTCCATCGGGACTGGGAGCACCCAAGCCCTTGGGGTACACCAGCAAAGGCTTCTGAAGAAAGCACTGGGAAGCACAGTAAGGCATACGCTATTTTCTTGTGAAAATGAAGTTAAAAATGCAAAGGTAGAAAGAGAAATGTGGAAAAAGCTAGGAGAAAATGAAGATAGATTATAAAAGGACTAACACAAAAGCTAAAGGTGCTTAGTCAATAAAAACTGGACAATAGTCTTCTCTTATTTGAGTAATAAAAGTCACATATTTTGACCTTATGTCAAAAGCACCACACAGCTGAGCATGCAAGACAAGAAGTCAGGTTTTGGGAAATAAGGAGGCTAGGTTGAAAGAGATGAAGATATAAAGCACCTGCAAAAATGCATGGTCCCATCTGCACCCTTTCCAGCAAGTTTCAGCTAATGGTTAGGGGAATGTAAAATCCCAAACGTAGTTTTGCCTCACATTTGTAAGACTGCAAAGAGAAGGGAAAGACAGGACAACAGGCATGGTCCCCATCTTTATACAGAACAAGGGAAGGTCCTACACAATAAGGATGGCTAAGGTGAAAACACAGTACAGATTCTGAATTTGGTCTGGTATTACATTCTCTACGCAGCAGTAGCGATGGCGACAGAACA